CTCTCTCTCTCTCTCTCTCTCTCTCTCTCTCTCTCTCTCTCTCTCTCTCTCTCTCCCTCTCTCATCTCACTCACTCACTCACTCACTCACTCACTCACTCACTCACTCACTCACTCACTCACTCACTCACTCACTCACTCACTCACTCACTCACTCACTCACTCACTCACTCACTCACACTCTCTCTCTCACTCACTCACTCTCAAAAACCAGTTATGTGCAGCCCTGTTTATAGACATAAGCACACATATACACACAACCTAGTTAACCACTGTTAACAGAACTAACACAGAATGTACGGAGTGAGTGCCGAGAGACGTCTGACACAGATTCAGACCTCTCCCGACTGATCGTTGTCCACAGGCTTTGTAGTCGTCTCCGGAAGATGTGCGCTGGGATTGGAGCGTGTCGGGCCCGGCATGCTCCAGTCACAGTCTTCGGGGCGGGCCAGGAGATGAGCAGCCTAGGGCATCAGGGCAACCGCATAGCTCATTTACATAGAACATATTCAAAGCAGAATTGACAGGACCGGGGATTGATCTAGCTTTTCTGCAGCATGTGTATGTATACAGTAGATGTGTACTATGAGTATATGTGTTTGTTGCCTGTATTACATGCATATGTATTACATGCATATATATTCATTTAACAATGTTTCTGGTAATTAATCGTGTGTATGAGGCTCACTGGCAGTGAATGTAGGGGATTACTTTAGTCGTTATTATTGCTTGTTTTATGTTTTTCTTGGTACATACAATCAGTACAAACCACTGTCTCATTTGTATGCATATATTTTGCTTTCCATTTCTAAATGACAAAAACTGGTTATGCATTGTCGTAACGCAATAAAACGATTTTTGATCTAAAAATAAACATTCTGCTTCAGGTCACGTTTGCCTGCTGCTAACAGGTTGTATGTTGTTTAATAAGATTTTTTTCTGAACAGGAACTTCCCAAGTCCTGGCTTCCAGACCCTCCTCCCTGCCACAGCTCTCATGGCCTCAGTGTTCTGGATGATCATCACCTGGTGCCTCTGGTTCCTGCCAGATATCCTTTTTTGGAAGTAAACATAAAACAGTTATGAGACAGCTATCATGTGATGTTCCCTGCAGATAAGGGTTTGTTTCGCATTTCTGTTACCTCTGCTGTTTGCTGTTTTATTCTTTTGATCAAGCCCATGAATGGAGAGTTTCTTAACCTTTGACCCCACATGGGCCCAGTGCCACGGCTCAGGCTTTGTTCACTGTGAATGCCACCGCTCTGCTCTACTTTTACCTCCGCACCTGCAGGACCGACCCAGGCTCCATCAAGGCAACTGAAGAAGAGAAGAAAATGGTGAGAGGGACATTATATGTTGACTCTGCATAAAATTATCTTTATAAAACCTTTTCTGACAAATTAGCTGGGTTTTGTTTGTTTGTGCCGTCAGAATGTGTTGGTGTTGGCTGAAGCCGGCGGCCTGGAACCCAGGATATTCTGCACGTCCTGCATGGTGAGGATCTGAACACAAACACTTTATACAACTCTGGCCTATCAACGCAAGCAGTGCAGCTTATTGTGTTTGTTATTGTTTTCACAGATTAAGAAACCGATGAGAACGAACCACTGCTTTAACTGTGACGCCTGTGTGGCCAAGCAGGACCACCACTCCATCTGGACCAACGGCTGCATCGGTACGAATACCAGGCATTAGAGAAGATAAATTAATGACGTGTTTTGTTACATGAACATCATCTTCAGAAAGTGTTATTTTAGAAAAATGTGATTATATTTACCCGTGTAGGTAAATAAAAAACAAATATTATAAATATTACCGTAATAAAACAGTAATAGCAGCAAATAAAATAATTGGAACTTAAAATGTAATTAAATTAAACATTTACACACTTGAGAATAATGTTATAAATATAAAAATATGTTAAATATTTGTTTCTCTAATAGTGGAGGTGCTTTATTTAGGGCCTGATAAGTTTAATTTGCATCAAAATTCACACTGTGGTAAAACTGGACCATTGACATGTACTCTATCTGTGTCAAAAAGATTAGTACAAAACTAAAAAGATTATTGTCATATAGGTAGTGTAAGGATGATCTTAAAAAAGGCTGCTTATATAACTAATTTGTGCCCAAAGAAAAAATCACCTTTCTGCTTTGTCTTCCAGGTGCGAGGAACCACCACTACTTCATCCTCTTCCTGTTCTCCCTCATGCTGATGGGAGCCTGGATGTTCTATGGTTGCCTCAAATGTTAGTACTTTTGCATTTGGTGTAATAACAGACTCTGCCGCAGTGTACACTCCTCTTGATACACATGCCTGTGCTGTGTGTGTTTTCCAGACTGGGCGACTCACTGTGTGCTGCATTACGAGGAGCAGGGCCTGTGGGGGGTGGTCTCGGTGCTGGTCACCTGCTCCCCCTGGCTGCTCAGCGTCTTCCTGCTCGCCTTCTACCACACCTGCTGGTCCGGCCTCATGCTGCTGCTGCAGCTCTACCAGGTGACCGCAAAGATCCTATCAGGAGTGTCATACAATCCAGACTCAAACTGAAGAGAGACCTCCGAATGAGTGTGTTATTTAGGTTTTTGTGCATGTGAATGGTCTGCATAGGCTAAAATCCCAAAGTTCCCTCCAGACGGAGTTTTGTCCAGACGGAGTTTTGTCTCCAACACAATCACAATCCTACATTGTACGTGCTGGTCTAAGGGGCGGGACATCTCTAAGCCGTTGACCAATCACAACATAGCCGACCAGCTAACCAATCAGAGGAGACTGGGCTCTGGTTTCAGACAGAGGGTGAAAAGAGGTGCTGCAGCACAGGCAGTTTGAGACAAATAAAGACCTTTTTTTTTAACATTAAAGCTGTAATGATCACTGTCTTTTCATCCCTGAAATGTTCAAATATTGCATATAAAACCATTTAGAGTTCGATTGGAAATGTCTCCTCAGTGTTTGATGTTTTCTTTGTGCCGGAGCAGATTGCCTTCCTGGGACTGACCACAGCAGAGCGGACCAGCCTGACGATGCACCAGAGGAAACAGCGACAGCCCGTCCCCCTCAAACAGAATCCATACAAGTGAGTTCATATTACTGACGCCACTTTGTCATCACAATCCTTTAAAATGATTTTACTGAGCGCTGCTCTTTGATGCCAATGATTTATTTCCGGTGGAAAACACTTTAAAACTACATGTGACTTCAGAGGATACATGTCTTTAGTTAATGACTGAGTTTTATTAGGATGCAGGGGGATCTTTATGTGTGTTTTTAGTCAAGGTCTTTTGTGTTAATGCATGTCTTCTTGCACATTACCCCTGATTCATTATTAAATACACAGTGCCAAACAGTCTATTCAGTATCTATGGAACTACAAGCGGCAATACTAAGTGGCTTACCTGAAAAAGTGTGACAATCAGTTACAGTGAGCCAAATAATAATAAGATGGAATGATAGAGCTTGAATAAGCTTAGTAATTGTTTGTTGGGCCTTGAACAGATGGAGCTCTGCTTTGGAAGTTAACTTTAGAAATAATTTTTAGAAAAGTCCAGTGATTTGTTAAATAAGAAGAAGACAGAGTTATTATATCAAATGGACATCATTGAAAGCTTGCAATGCTGGACTTGATTTCTGAGGAAAGAATACTACTAGGTTAAAGGATGGCACATTCATATTAAGCTTTTATATCTTTTTCATACTCTTTCAGCACCATCAGTTCAAAACATACTTTATATTTCCCTAAAGATGCAAGTTTCAGGCAACACATACAATTCAAAAAATATAAATGAGTACAGAAAAACACATTTTAAATATCATTGGTAGACATGAATCGTGTGAACAATATTGCACACCATGATGGCATTTAGTCACCATTCACTGATCCCCCTCTCCTGATTGGTGTGTCTGCAGTTTGGGCGTGATGAGGAACCTGGCGTCGTTCTTCCAGCTGCGCTGCTGCGGCCTCTTCAAACCGGCCATCATCGACTGGACGCAGCAGTTCCCCCCCGGCCGCGACCAGCACGGGTTCGGACTCACCGATTTGGTCTGACCCCTCCCTGCCACCCCACTCTCAGGGTCAAGGGTCGGACTCTCACAGTGGTTCTGGACCAAAAGCACAAAGTGTATTTATTTATTTTTTTAAAGGGTTGGCTCCATGTGAAGAGAGAAGTTGGGAACAGGCATCGTGTAGATATCATTTGTTCCGGTTGCTCTTTGTAAAGACTGCTGCTGCCTTATACTTGACCAATGTAAGTGAAATCACACAGATGTGTTAATTTTGGTGAGGTTCAAAAACCTTTTAAAGGCCTAAATTGTAATTTGAAGTTAGGAGATGTTTTTATAAACGCATCAAGCCTATTTTGTATCATGTTCTGATGGAAAAAAGGATCTTTGTACGTGTAAACAGTTGGTTTTATGACTTTTGTAAGAGTTGCATGTTTGATAACGAATGCCACTATTCAATAGAGCAATGTTGTGCCTGTCTTCTTAACTGGCTCTGTGTGGACTATCAGGCCTTTACATACAGGGGTGGACAATATCATAGAAACACTGTAAATCAGTAAATATCTATGTGTCGAGGCTCATAAATGTCAAGCTTTTGCAGATTGTTTAACCCTGGTCATTTTTCAACCCTGATTTTGAAGACTTCCTAACCAGAAAGAACCTATTCTTGACTTTTTTGCAGCATGATGTGTCACCATCAACCGACCTGACAGTCACAATTTTGTCTTCAAAAGTCTATTTACTTATATTTTGTATTAAAATTGAGACACATGTCTTTGTTTCATATGAAATGAGTCTGTTAAGGTAGCCCCTAAAGGCACACTCGTTGCTCTGTGAATGGTTTCCTCCATGTTCTCATCACTGCTAATTTGATAGTGCCAGATAACGGCTCTAATTTTAGCTTGACAAAAACATCTAATCCCGTTACGCTCTGCACGGCTGCTCACACATAATTGTTTGGGAAAACTAACACGTTCCATTGGTTAATCACTTGTTGCCCTGATAAATGTAATTAATTATGGCAAAGAATTATTTATGAATGCAAAAACAATTTGATAAATAATTAACTTTAACAAAATGAGTCACTGCTAATTGTCTTCTCAGCGGTAAGGAAATCATTTCATTGACTAATAGGCAGGGTTGGGCAAGTTGTAATCATCAAAACTATAATAAGTTATTTTACAAACAAAAGGATTATCTAATTATTTTTAATTATGAGTGGTTCCTATTCTTTTCTGCGTGTGAGGTACACATGGACCACAGACTGTATTTCAATTCTTTCTTCACTTTAATAAAGAATAAATCAATTCAGGATACATTTTAGGGTAACAAAATCATTTTATTGTGTACTCACAATGAACATAAGTATTATTAGTTAATCTCTAATAGTGACCTTAAATATGCCTCGATTCAGCTGTTATTTGACCCGCCCTGGTGCTTCAATCATGTATTACAAACATCCAGTGTATGGCTTCATTGAAACAGCTGCCGTGTGACAGTGATGTGAACTTTACACCAGAATGGTTCACTGCTCTTAATACAACATGGCGGCGTTCCCCAGTCCAAATCCTTTAGGGCCGAAGTTTTTGGCGTAACAAACTGAAGAGAATTTTGAAAAACAAGAATAAGTTCAAGTTATACCACAAATAAAAATGCTTCCTGTTCTATAAAAAAGTTGTAGGGTTGTAACTGCCATTTTTATTTCTGAAAAACTAGACTATTTTCATCTAAAGTAACAGACAGAGAATCAGCACTTTTGAAACAGGGCTGAAACAGGTGTGTGTGTGTGTGTGTGTGTGTGTGTGTGTGTGTGTGTGTGTGTGTGTGTGTGTGTGTGTGTGTGTGTGTGTGTGTGTGTGTGTGTGTGTGTGTGTGTGTGTGTGTGTGTGTGTGTGTGTGTGTACCTACCTTTACAGTACAGCTCTCCCTCCTTGTCTGTCACTGTGGTCGAATCCAGACTTTTAGCACACAGAGCGCAGCGGAAACAGGTTTTATGCCAGGGCTACGCACACACACACACACGATTATTATACAAGTATTGAGTAATATGTAACAAAAAATAAAGGTTAAGAAATACTTTCTTCTAAACTGAACAAACTTGATCTTAAAACCTATAAACTTTGTGAAGGTGACACTACAGTTAGCGATGTAGGGCACCTTTTTGATAACTTCAAAATGTACATTTTCAAACACAGTTCAAACTGGAGAGTACATAATAACAGGACATTTACAATTTAAGTTGTCCAATTTTAAATGAATTGAAAGTACATTTAGTCATACTGGAAAGGTAATGTGACCATATCCTCAGAGGAAAGGTCAGGTCATTAAGGTCACAAGGTTTTATGTTATTGGGTCCTTAATGATCTGCAGTTGATTTCATTAAATATCAGGACCTACAATTTTGTTTTAATTGTCTAACAGTCAGGTTGGTTGTGTTTTAGAAGTGTTCTAGCTTGTGTGTGCAATAATGTATTTTGGGGCCAGAATGTTTCTGTTACAGTACGAATGCATCATGATTGCACATAACCAATTGTCCCATTAGTATAGACTTCTCGTGCTGGCTCTTACAAATCCCTGAACTGAGTCCCAGCTCCGTCAGCATCTCATTACCCCATCATGGCTGACAGTGTCTGCAGCTGTCTGCACTCACTCAGCCAATCAGATCGTCAGCCTTTGGGAGTTCATTGCCTTCAGTCTCTGTTTGAGTGCAATGACTTTGCCACAGAGTTTCTGCTAGAGTTTAATGATTTTTGCTGTGGTTTTGGTTCCTGCCTGCAACTGCCCAGTAAGTAGAACTTTAGTTAGAAGAGCTACTGCCTTTTCTGTCTGTCCCTAAGCAAAGCTCCTTATTCTCTGCTCCTGTTTCACCTCTTGTTTGGGCTCTAAGAACACCTTGGTAGTTTTATGGACAACAATTAAAACACTTTTTAAAGAAGCATCCTGTCTGTGTGCTAGTGCCACAGGACAGTAACAACAACAATGAAGTATAATCCGTAGAAAAAGGTTGTATAAATACAATTACAACAGACATAGTACTGCTTACCTTCCCTGCTCCCATCACCTTCTCTGCTGCGTAGACGGCTTTCGAGCAGCGAGGGCAGCGGTCTGAACATCCAAACTTCTGGGAGGATTTATTCTCACTAGAATTTGAAGAAGCTGGTCGTGGTTTAGACCTAGAAAAAAATAATTTAAAACAAAAACATTTGTAATGATCTCTGGTCACTAGAGTTTGACTTTCGTACTTGTAGTTTGATTATTGTGGGTTTTTGATATGTTATATACACCATTACTTTTATATATTCACAATCATATTCAATAGTTTTTCACTCATGCCAGAGTGGAACTTTCTCTGAAAGAGCAGTAAGACATCATGGTAGCTACACTAAAGCTTTATTTACTTGTTTTTTCCTTAAATGTAGAAGATAAACAACATTAAGTTTAAGACTCAAACTTTTCTGCAGCTGTGTTTAGAACGGAACCTTCTTCATACTGGAGAATGATACATTTAACATAGTTTGACTTTCAATCATTTAAGGTTTAGTTCTCCAAAAATGATGATGGTGCAGGTTGAAATGTTACGGGTGGATATCTTAAATAATGTGCCCGTAAAAACACCTATGTGGCTCAACACCATTCTCTCTAGATGTGGGTGGAATGACCCTTTAATGAAAACCCAGGCTCCTGTTTCTAACCGCAGTGAACACATACTCTTGAGGCTGCAGGCCGGCATATCGAGGAGGGTCTGAGCTCAGAGCTCCAGCTCCCTGCCCGTATCCATAGCCTTTTGGCCCATATTTCTTGCCATAGCAGGACTTGCAGTAAATCTCAGACTCATGTGCTGCAACCGTGGTGCTGTCCAGCCCTTTTCTGCAGCCCACTGTGTGAAAGAAACACAAACATACTAGACATTTGCATCATTTGTTGTCTGACCACAAGGCTAGGGAGAATGGATTCAGTTTGCCTAGCGGGGAGTGTCATGGAGGAGTCATGGAGGGTAAATACAGCTCCCACTTAGCTGGTTTTATCAGTCAACAGTGACATTACACAAAGACAGATGTCTTGTGTTTCTATTTGTAGGAAGAGGAGAGGGTGTGAGGTGAATGTTTGAGAAAAGATGAACACTTAGCATGATGGTTGAGCTAATAGCAGGCTTTTAGAGCTCCCACTGGAACAATCCAGCAGTCACACAGACTCGCATGTTACCAGCTGGTGGGGGTTTGAAGAAAGCAATAAGAACATGAGGTGTGCCTTGATTAGACAACTGCAGCTGGTGAGGGACAAAGGAGTAAGAACCTAAACTGTATCACAGCAGGAGAAATTCAAGTCATTACAGACGGTCAAACCAAAGGATAGGAGGGGGAACTGCACCGTCCAAGAAAGGCTATTCAATAACTAGAACAGGTTGGATGAGGAAAAGGAGATGTCTATAGAGTACATGTAATTAATGAGAGAATATGGCCAGTGCTTGTTTAACTGTGAAAAGAAAAGAGCCGCAATAGGAGGTTGAATTATAAAAAGAGTGAGATTATTTTATTAAAATATAGAGATGGGGGGAAGGGAAAGAAATAGCAGTAACAAAGCCAGGAGAAAAGAAAGGAAGTAGGCAGATTAGAAATACATAGATCTTTGAAAGAAACACAAAAGAGACAAAAGTAAAAAAGAAGAGGAAGAAAAGAGACAGATTTGAACACGATGAGAATGGAACAAATAACATTAAAAATGCGAACAAATAAAACTAAAAGCGGATTTACTGAAGAAGAAAGTGATCAGATAGAGGCTCATGTGCTGCTGTGAGTCTTCTGACAGTGCAGAAGCAGATGGCCCCTTGATGTGTCAATAAGAGCAAATGGGACGAACTGAAACAATGTTACACCGCTCTTTACTCTGCTGATCTATGACACACTACACACTGGTCCAGCAAAGACAGGGGCTCACTGCAGATGAAGCAGGTCTTATGGAAGCTCCGGCCGTTACACTGGACCTCCTCTGCATGGTACACTGTCTTCTCACACGCCGCACACTTAGCTCCACCTCCCAAGTTTGGCATCTTAGAAAAACCAAATAAAACAAGCTTAGAGCTGCAAATAATTACTAATTTCATTGAAGATTACGGACTCTCTCAAATGTGAAATAGTCTAATAGGGCCTGACCAACCAATAATGGTCATTAAAGATTGTTTTTTGTGTAAATCCTTTAATCAAGTGAAGTATGCCCATAATATTTCATCATAATGTATCTTAGTGTCTTTGAATCCCTTATTATGTCTGACCAACCAACAAAAACATTCAGTTTATGATTATATGAAACAGCAGAAAAACAGATTTTTCTTTTACATTTCAGAAGCTGAATTGAGAGTGTTAGGCATACTTGCTTATAAACATTTTTTGAAGATTTATCATAATGTTTTAAGTACATTTTATAAAGTAATTGTTCCATCTCCAAAATAAGAGATCTGCACCACCAGGATTGTGGGTTAAAAATCTAGCCAAAATAATGCTTTCAGAGTTAAAATTGAAATCAAAAATAGCATATCTTACCATACCATAAATTCTAAAAACCTAACCACACCTCAGTGATGTCTTGACCTCCTGTGACTTTGTCTTTCTTAATTTCCAGTCTGATGATTTAAAAGTCTCTTACAAACATCAGTTTGAAAGCTTCTCATCTCAATTTGACTCTATTGTCAGCCGACATTCCAGTTCCTGCTCATACCAGAGGCTGCCCATCACCTCACAGGACTGGAATGTGATATTCTGGGAGCAGAGGCTTTTATGGGACCTCAGATAGACAAAAGACGCAAAATAGGCAATGTACGATAAAATACATGTAATTACATCTATGAAAACTAAAATAAAGAAACATTAATTAGCCCCAAGTTGTACCCTAACTGAACTACGAACAGGACATTTTAAAAATAAATGGGTCCTTACCTTGAATCACGGCCTGTGTGCTTCAGTGGCAGTGAATGCATCCCAGGCGGTTTATATACTGCCTGTCTCGCCATCACCACAGTCCACTGGTGACGCTAAAATGACAATATCCTCCTAAAATAACTTGTGACAGAGCAGAGCCCTCTGACCCTTCATCACTGAAAGAGGTCTGAACATCAGCCAGGCTAACATTTGTTCTGGACTCACAGGCAGACACCGGAAACTCTAAACAGAACTCTAAAGACAGCTGGGAGCAGGGAGTTATCCACATGGTTATGGGATTATGTATGACGGGAAAGCAACTGCATATCTGACTGTGATTACATCTCTTTAGATACATGAGTGACCATGTGATGGCTGCTCATGGCTACACACCAGAAGGCAAAATAGCTTCTTGGTTAAATAAAAACTGTAGTTTGTTGTGGGTTAAATGTTAAGGTTCCTCCAGAAGAGAGCCAGTGTTGACACCTAAATCAAAATGGTTAACCTGTATGGTGTCCATTTTCAAAGTTGTCACATCCAAATTATGTTTTACTAGGGGTTTAACAATCCATCGATCTGTATTGATTCAATGACCAATGAATCATACTCCTAAAATATACTCTGATACATATCAACTCTAAGACATTTCTAGACATAAATATAAATATATATTATTTTTTATTTTCATCAAAAATCAAAGTCAAATCCCATTTGAGTTATTTTTGATTAAATGTAACATTTTGTCTCATTAATACCAGCCCGCTGAATTAAATTGAATCAAATGTGCATCTTGGCAGACTTTTCTAGTTTCACAAAGAATTGACATATTGTATCGTGAAGAGACTTGTGATTTACACGCCTAAATTGTAAAGAAATATTTTAGCCATGCGAGTAAAACATGCTGTTTTGTGACCTCTGAATCACCTCCCACATCCATTTGTTCAGCTATTCAAATAAAAGGTCAAACACAATGGAAAATGTATAATCGGGTGAGGAAATAAACAGCTTTAGTTGTATTTATGGTTGAAAGTGAGATGTAGGGACTTTCAAGACGCATCTACCTTTAAAGATTTAAATAATACTTACAACTCCCACTTACACTCAAGAGTTTAAATTCAAGACTTTTGATAAAAAACTGTTTTTAATGACAATTTGCTGCTTATTTGCATTTGATACGATTGTAAACGGGGTCAACCTGTTTAGTCAAAATCATGCAATGTAACCTAGAGCACTGGGAATTAGGGATCTGTATTTCAAATTGTATAGATCAAACAATCGTAGTAAAAATAATAAAGTTTCATCTTCAATGATAATATTGGTTTGTAGCATGTACTGATTCCAATCCCATAATATTGTATCACCGTAGAGACGAAAACGGAGACCAACTTCACATGATGTTCATAGAAAAATGTATTAAAATTCAATTAACATTTTAACATTTAACAAGACAACAGATACAGAAGGTAATTTCCTTATAAATTAAACTTTTGAAGAAGTCTGATTAGTCTTACAATCTCTCATATTCTTACCAGGGGTAACATGTACATATGTGCAAAAGTCTTTGCATTAGGTTTCACTTAGAGACAAAATGATCATAAAACAATGGTTCCTAATCATACTTGTCTTTCAGTCAAACGTCCATCTGACTTAAGTGTGTTGCCCTTTATAGCATTGATTATTTTTGTACTACTCTTGGTAATTTGAAGAAAAGGAATTGGTGTTCACATCACCAACTTTAGGAGAAATAACTCAAATAAACAAACAAAAAAAAACAAGAAAATTCAATCTCTATCAAGTTATGCAGAATAAAGTTGGGGCAAAACTGTTTTGACCAGAATGACAATAATGTTCATGAGTTTCTGGTGAACTTTGTTTCAAAAATGAAAACAGTAAGGCTGCTGTGAAATGTTCGGAGGTAATGAATACTGTGAAATGCTAACCAGACAGAAGATAAAAGGTCACCCAACACAAACACCACCCATACACACACTCAAAGTACACACTCGTCAGAGGGTTTCAGTCTGGGCTCTCAGGACTCCTCAGTGGCAACGTCCAGCTTCCTCTGAGGGATGTAAACTGTGTTGGGGGCCAGTTGTCCACCTGGGGTTACCATGGCAGCCAGAGGGGAGAGGTGGACCGGCGTGTGGAAGAAGCTGTGCTGGGGGAGAGCCGTCCCTTTGGGGGTGGTCATCAGGGGCTGCGGGACAGATAGTGATCGGTGAGGGTTTCATCTTAAAGGGTGAGTTCAAGAGAAAATGTCCCTGCTCCAATGCTCAGATCTCAATGCAATCAGTTTTCATAGGAACTAACTTCTCCTAAATAAACGTCTGCAATGAAGTCTGAAGACCAAAAACTATCCCCATTGCTACACTGGCTCCCACGCCTTTGTTGTTGTGGTATGTGCGAACATTAAACAATACCAGCAGATGGGATTTTATGTTGTTTCAAGGGCAAACGGCAACATATTTATCTCCCAACAGCTATTTGCCAAGTATTTCAAAATGTGTGATCTGTAAAGTAACATGTTCAGAACTTCCTATCTTCACCTTGAGACGATAATACAAAGTTGATTCCCTTTCGTAAAGTTTGTTCAGTTGGGAGAGACAGATTTTTAGAGATTTTCCCTAGTGTCAAAATGGTTGTCTCGTGTGTCGCAGACTGGGGTAAAAACCCCATTTGAACGACATATTCTGAATGCTTTTCGATATAAGGCCACATTTGTTATGTTTAAAATAAATATGTTATGGAATATGGTTATACTCCAGATGTTATCCAAACACAAGCATTAGTTGTTACCTGTTGTAGACTGAACAGGGTCATGGGCTGCCCTGACAGAGACTGCTGCACCGGCACAGGGGACACAGGTTTGATGAACACCATGCCTCTCTGCTGCAGAGCCAGAGGGCTGGCCATGCTGCTGACACCCTCTGGGGTCTGGGGGGCCGCAAAGGGGCTGGACCCTGAGATCAGGCCCAGGTTCTGCAGGGTGAAGTTGAGGATGGCGGGGCTGGGGCTGTGGAGGCGGTGCGCCTGCTGGGTGGTGAGCGGCGAGGCGGCGGCTGGTTTGTGAAGACGGAGGCTGGTGGGGGTCGTCTCCTGGGCTAGGGCCTGTCTGGAGCCTGTGGACAAAAACAAATGTGTGAACAATTAATATAGACCCTTCATTTAATCGACAGTTATTAGCAGGTTCAATTTGAGCAATACAATAAAGAATCTTAGATGCATTTCACAACAAAAGAAAGCTCTAAAAGTAGGGAAGAATGATGGTCTATGCTAGGAAGATAAGTGTAAATATAGAACATTCACTATTTGGATGAATTAATTGTGATTTAACAATCTCCGGTTGAAGCTGATTAAATTCTGTAAGATCTTTTATTTCTTACGCATTTGGACGATTGGTTGAACTAAAAAATGGACTCGTATCAAGAGTAGTCTAAAATCCACCTTTCATGACGTGTTTACCTGCAGTGGGTGTTTGGTAGATGTAAGCGGGAGTTAAGGCCTTGTTGCTTTCTCTCCCTGCATCTTGGGCTTCCCTGTAGCTGATGAGGGACTGCTGGGAGATTGGGATCAGGTATCCGGCCGGTATTAAAGTCTTGACAAGCAAAAAAAAAAAGTCAAACTTTGTGCAGTTGAATTGACAAAAGCAACACATCTCAGTCTCTCTGTGTATTTTACCTCTGTGTGGAGCTGTCCCGGCGTTAAGGGTACGACCCTGACTGGTGTTAACCCCGCCTCGCTGTCTGAGTATGCTGTCCTGTCCTCTTTGTCCAGGAAGGTCTCCAAGCTTTGTTCTAGTGTCTGATTGGCTACAGCACCACCGGGGGTGTTGACAAACTCCGGGTCAAGGTGGAGGGCGCGAGGCGAGGGCCGGTTTAAAGGCTGAGTGCCGCGCCGGGCCTTCAGACGGGCCTGCAGGATCTCACACAGCTTTGGAGACGTGTCCTAAAGGAGGTCAAAGGGAAACAGAGAGGCGGGGGAATAATCTGAATTAGGGCTGCCAAAATAATCACAATTCGATCAATATCGCAATATGGACTTCTTCTAATATTCAAAATCGCATGGAGCAGAATGTGTAAACAATGTGTTAAGTATTGTGGCCTAATATAGCAGCCTAATAATTGTATTCTACAATCATCAGAAAAACATCTTTATTTGGTTGTGATCTCCTTAAGTACCACACCATGATTATTTGAATATAAACTGTAAGGAGAATTTGAATATTCTTGCAATAATGAGCATTTTCTACAATGTCAGGAATCATATCGCAATAAGAAATCTCAGCCAAAATATTGCAATTAGATCATTTAAATTGAGCAATGCTAGCCCCTCTAGTTTTTTATATTTTGCAGAAGTCTTGCCATTTTCCACAATTCCTCAACATCAGAGTGTTGTACAAATGCACCGTTTCGATGGATTGTATTGGTATTTACCTTAAAGTTGGGGTCTGTCCTCCTGGCTTTGGATGGGCTGCCGTCTGAGGCTGAATCTGAGCGCAGCCGTTTGAGCACTAAGGGGCTGACGTCTGACGCCCTGAAGGCCGGCAGACTCTTAGCGGTGCCCTGGCCCGTCGGACTCTGCCCTGTTTTATCCTCAAAGGTCATGGAGCGCACGGCCAGGCTGGTGGGCTGCGGCCGGACCAGAGGGTTGGGCCTCGGTGACGAAGAGTGCAGGTACACAGCGTATGGCATGCCCCCGCGCTGCTGGGGCAACAGGACGGGGATGAGGGGGGAACACTGCGCTTGGATGTAGGCGAGGGAGCCTGTGGATAGGGCTGTCAGAGGCGTGTGGGGGGTGAGGTGGACGGTAGTGTTGACTGTAGTCTCCTGGGTTGGAGTTTGAAACGGTGCCTGAGGCGGCTCCATTGAAACAGAGGAGGGGTCCAGCCTCACAGCAGCAGGGAATGCCTCGGCAGCAAAAGGCTTTGGATCATCAGCTCCAGTCCTGGAACACAAGCAGGACTCTCATTTAACACTTAATTCATTTAAAATGATACAAATGAAAGGCTGTATGGTATCCATGATACATTCAATCACATGTTGGAATCAATGTTTGTCTGAATGGGTTACAACTTTTTCATTTTATGCGTCTTCACAGTGGTCTTTTATAAACTTTAACAACAACACTCTGATAGAGGAATTTCAACTACCTCTTAAACAGTTTAGTCTAAATGGAACCAAACTTACGATGACTCCTGGTTGAGCTCAATCTGACAAATAGCAGCAAGTTGGGCCATTTTGTTTGGGAGTTCAGTGTTTGATAAATCACCTGAGGACAGAAGAGGAAAAGACCGTCATCACACCACTCATAAAGATATGTAACAATAGTAGCCTGGTCTGAAGGAACATTTTCTGCACTCACTGAAGGCGCCTTTGAAAGGACTGTTGGGGGCGGAGTTGATCTTTCTGCGGTCGTCCTGAATGCTCTTGGCCAGCTTTATGAGTGAGGGGTGTCGGGTGAAGCCACGTTTGGCTCCGGGAGATGAGAACAGGTTTTTGGCACAGTTTTCTAGAGCACGGGGCTCCAGTACACTTTTTTTCTTGGTTGCGCATTCGGATGTGGAGCTCTCCAAATCTGAAACAAGAGTTTACTGTTTAGTCCGTGAAGATCTGAGATACTAATTTAACTTACCATCAGCAGCACTGGCAATCATTATTCAACAAACTGAGAGTCCTGAAATATATTTCACAGGAGTCGAAGCCTTATTTCCTTTTAATTAAGGACCAAAATATAAAGAATAAAAAGGGAAAAGAGGTCAGATGATACCTTCAACTTGTGGGAATTCTTCTGGGCCGACCCATTCAAAGGCGGGCTTCCTCCCCCTCTCTTCGGTCACATGGACTTTCTCAATGAGCTTCAGGCTCCGCAGCACATTAGCTATGTCGTACAGCCGACGTACTTTGGCTGCAAACACATGAAACAAACAGAACGATTATATACTACACATACAGAGACACAGAACATACTGTTACAGAAATACAAAGAAACCCGCATCTAAAGAGGTCCAATGTCTATTCCTTCTCACTGCATTCAAAGTTTTACAATTGCACATACATTCTAAGATTGGGAAATATGAACAGCATGGAGTAGATGTTTACAACTCTCCAAAAGATTTCTATAGATTTACGATGCAAGAAGGTCTCTATTACACATTAGGAAGACGGTGAGTTGGCAAACTTGCTGAAATATCAGTTTTACCAACCCTGCCTATAACTGAGATACAGGTGTTATTCTCACTCTTGAACTTGTTCTTGTCTTGATCCACGCACTGGTCCTCTCCGATCAGGATCTTGGCGGCCACGTCCAAACTGACCACACGAGGATTAGACACCAGGAAGAGCATGACAAACTTCTGGCTCATCACCCTCAGAGATTTATCCTTCCTACTGTTCACAGAGGCTGGACAGGACATACAAAAAGGGGATTTAGTTAGTTAGATTACTGTGTCACATACCCAAGAAAAGTAGAATATTTGACAGAACTCCAGCTTTTTTGTTCAATTTAAGGGTTTTTCAAGGATTGCTTCTCACCTGCTTTGAACTCTACTCCTGGAAGCTCCACAAAGAAGAGCTCCTTCTGTCCCTGCTCCCCGCTCTCAAGCTGCACCACCTCCTCGTTCTCTTTCTCCTCCCCGTCAAAGTCAAACTCCTTGTCCCGGAGACGCTGCCGGATGTGCAGCATCTGCTGGCCGTACCTTTGCTCCTCGCCCACCTGCTTCAGAACGGCCAGAGTCTGGGCCAGTTTGGTCCGGCCGTGCCACGTGTAGCGGTTCTTGGCCGAGCGGCTCACCATGTGCAGACTCTCCAGCACGTTCATGATGTCGTAGATGCGCCGCCGTTCTACACCTGGGTAGAGAGAAAAGAACGTGTTTCAAGTTAAAAACTGATTAGGTATCACAAATAGTTTAAACTGCAGAAATTATTACTTTAAATGGGGGGAAAACACAATTTCAAACCTACTACAACTATGTGTACACTGTGTCCAATTGCAACAAACTTCAATGCTTCTGTAAATCAGAATATACCAGACATCACAATTACAGTCAATGTGGAAAATGTAATTAATGTTAGCATTGTAATAGATAGAAGATAGAATTGGGAGGGATGAAACCCTCTTTAATGGTCACACATGCAGAGCACACAGTGAAATTTCTTCTCTGCATTTAACCCATCCTAGTACCAGGAGTCTAGTACTAGGAGCAGTGGGCAGCTATTGTACAGCGCCCGGGGAGCAATGGGAGTGAGGGGGGAAGGGGGGTGTCCGGTGCCTTGCTCAAGGGCACCACAGCAGGGCAGGAGGTGAACTGGGACCTCTCCAAGTAGAAGTCCACACTCCATATTTAGGTCTGGTCGGGGACTTGAACCGGCGACCCTACGGCTCACAGTCCAAGCCCCTACTGACTGAGCCACTGCCGGACTGACTGAGCCACTGCCGGACTAACTCCTGAATTCAGATATCATGGCATCTATGTCACAGCCATAACTGTATTATTGCTGCTGTTATAACAGTATTATTATGATATTTAAATAAAATTGACCCCTTTAACTACATTGAAACCTAATTGCCACATCTACTACAAAGAGTTATTGAAAGCAATGATAAGCTGTTGCGCTCATAAAGCATTTATTTTGATATTAATACATAATCCTCTACATCAAATATTTGCAAGAGAACACATACTGAGCTCAGTAGCCACATCGTCCAGGCAGATGTCGTTGTTGAGGGTAGGGTTGGGGTGATCCGGGTATCGGGCGAGAAATTTGTGACAGAGCAAACCCAGGCTCTTCTCTTTCCTGCTGATCATTTTCCAGTCTCCATTTTCCGATTCCTACGGGAAGACAAAAAATAATACAAGAGATTTTTGTAACGCCTTGACTCATCAGAAAGAGTTGTGTGGTAATGTGAGGAGATTTATTGTACCTGTGAAGGATCAAGACCTTCCCGCCCGTCGTTGTCAACGCACAGCTCCTTCTCTCGGTTCCTGATTTCAGGACTAGCAGCACTGATGAGCATTTTCAGGTTGGAGGTGGGCGTCCAGGGGTCAACAGAACGTACTTCCATTCCCTTTTTAGGTGTAGTGAGGGGACCCATGGTCAGCTGGTTCTCCACGGAGACGGCACACTGACCAAATGATTTCTTTGGAGTATTTATTGTAACCGTTGGTGCTACAAAGCCTTCATCCTAGTCAGCAAAAAGAGAAATCAAAAGACAATGATTAAGATACAAATCCATCCATTGCCTATTGATATCATAAAAAAAACAAAATGATATCCGAGACACACTCAGATTCCTATGTACTCACTGACCTTAGAATGAGCTTTCTGGGTCAGGGATTGAGATTCAAGCGCCATACTTGAAATGTTCCACCTTAACATAAGAATTGAATAAGTATTATATTAGCTACAGTAAACTAGGCATTAATAAAAGGATGCAATCGTCAAGAGATAGTATAAAACAATGATTGAAACATTTGCTCTTAACACGTTTTGGATATAGTGACATAGGTAAAAAATCATAGTGGTGTTCAGCCGTATTAACTATGATTAATTTAGCCAACTAACATTAATACGTTCCATATTAACTTTAACAATACTGCTATTTAAGTTTTTACATATTATCAGAACGACATCCTTACCGCTTTTTCACTGAAATATATGTGTCGAGTACCAACATTGTTAAAGCAGCGGGAGAAAAGAGAGCGAAACTATGAACCGGTGATTTCATTCGATTTTTTCAATTTATCACCTGGTAAGAATAAATAAAAATCTGTTTAAATCTAATCAAAACACCAGATTTATATTGGCGGTAACTGACATGCATTCCATCGAATCGCGGGGCCAAACGGACGCAGAGGGGCCGCCCTTTTTGCTGAAAGCAGCCAATGGCAGCGTAAAGGAAGTGGATGACTGTCCCGCGCAGGTAAACTGTTTTTTGAAATCCTTGGCGCGGAACGTCTGTACGGTATCAGAGGCTCGCTTTAACTGTGATACCTACAGGGCTAAAGTCTGAATCATTACTATAAGTTAATGTGCATTTACAGGGTGACTTGTTTAAAATGCGTAAGGCTTCCCCAACGTAAGATAATGTTTGTGTCATGTAGCCGGCGAACGCCCGCCGTCTGGATATCCTTATAGCTAAAAGTTAACAAAACGTTGTAAAACCGGTATACCCAGAAGCTTCATCCATTCAATGCTTTGTTTTAAAACACACAGCAGCAACATTCGCTAACATGTCTATCGAGTTAAGCAGTTTATAAGGAGGAGGCGGCAACTTAACCTAGCTTAACCTTAAACCAAAGCGTTGGATAAATAAAACGTCTTGGGACAACGTACACACGTTTGCATTATCAAGCACACATTATGCTATGTTCAAACGTACCCCAAATTCATGAAATAAGCCTTGCTCAGAGCAGGAAACGTCCCATCTTCACAGCAACGTTAATGTTTTGTCGATACCAGTTGGGTGTTTCCAAAATATAAATCCGGGTCCTTAATGTGGATTTTAACAGAACTCCATACGTTTCCGCGCTAATATAACCATTAAAAAAAACACCCAAAGTGGAATAGTACACAATGTGCGAAGCTCTTGTTTTTATTTCCCCTCCTGATAGTAAGCAGTAGCCTCTTGGTCAACTTTACTACAGATGTGAAAAGTTTTGGTGACCAGAAGTATTTGGCCCGCCCCAGAGCCCTAGAGGAGCATCGCGCTGACGTCAGACCACGCACTTCCGCCTGTGGCAGAGCGGAAGAGGAAACACTGTACACGTAGCTCTAATCTGCAGTGTGTAGCATCAATGCCTTGTTTAAATATTGTAAATTGCTTTGGATAAAAGCGTTAGCTAAATTAATTGCAATGTAATATAATCTATTTCCAAAAAAACCTGAAAATATATAACACAAAGAATTATAGCATTAATAAAGTGTCCTAGTGATAGGGGCATCGAGTTCACGTGTTAACCCTATTTAGGCCTACCTGTAGCGTCTTCCAAAACATGGTATTTTAGAATACGTTTAAGAGGGGTTTGAGTATTCATCACCAAAAGCTAAATTAATTTAACATTTTGTTGTATTTATTGTATCGCTGTTGACAGTATTTTCAGATTTCTGGAGGGATACAAAAATATATCCAAATTCTCCTCTGTAAAAACCTTTGACCCTCATATGTCAACAAAATTATATCAACAATTTAAAACCGGCGTTATGAATTTTTCAGATTTCTTATCTTGAAAATGAATACAAATGAACTTTTATTTAATAAAAAAATGACAAATGTTCTCATTTAAAGTGGACCTATCATGCTATATTTAAATGATATATTGTAGGGCCATACCTATATAAGGTATATTTATACGTTTCTGTTTTCAAAATACCAAACAGATCATGCATTTTAGCCATGCCTCATTTCGCTCTATGTGCTGTTTGCTGTCTACGGGTCTGATTCTGCTGACCACGCCCCCCTGCAGGAGAGGTGAGCCATGCTCTGATCAGCTGCTGGGCTGTCAGAAGAGGGGGAGAAAAAGAGATCTCCGTCCTCCGTGTTTTATTATATAGAGTCGTTATTCATTTGTTTTAAAGCTCAATAAATAACAAAGAAGACCTTTGACCGGCACTTTTCTAATTTTGTCTGGAAGATTTAAACTTTAACGGACATCTTGACCGGCGAAAGTAACTGAAACTGAAACTCTGCCGCACGGTCCCCTTGTTCCTTGGAAGAGGCGGAGAGGTGGGTGTTTGTCATCTGCTGGTAGACTAACCGGAGAGATTTACAGTGCTTGCCTCAACGGGGAGGGATTGCATTGAATTAAAGCAGCGGGAGCAAACGCTTGCCTCGGGGAGGGAGAAAAAAAGCCACAGCGGAGAATAAACAGAAGGGTAACCATGGTAACTTTGGGCGGGAAGTCTTCTTCGCTGCTTTTGTGGCAGACTACAGCGCCACTTACAGGCCTGGCATATGTACTACAGCGTCTCCAGCACTTTCGAGCGGCAATGGCCGGCCGTGGCCCAGCCCCACATTCCCCTGATAGGTGGAGAGTTGGCCCAATAGCCGTAGCGCCACTTCTGTGATGACATAGAAGTGTTCAAATCTGGATCAGTCTGTATCAGATCCGTTGCAGCCCCTTTTTTAGAGATTTGGGTATGGAGGAAAATAGAGAGGGTTGTGTTTTCTGACACTTGGTGAGTTCCCTGGAACACCGGGGACACATATTCATGTATAAAAGACGTACAAAAGTGCATTTTGCATGATAGGTCCCCTTTAAATAACATTATTATAAAAATCAACAAGTTCATGTCAAAAACGTTACACTATCCACCTGTTGTCTCCCCTTTACCAAGAGGGACCTGTGCAACATTGGCTTAGCTCCGTTGACCAAATGGCAGATGTGAAAAAAGTAATTAAATGTCACATGTAACAGCATCATAAACAATACAGCTATTAGGCCCATACTTTACATGACCTGTGATTGCTAAATCAGGTTCTGTGCTCTCTGTCAACACGTGATGGCTGTGGAAGATTAAGGCAAGGCAAGGCAAGTTTATTTATATAGCACATTTCAACACAAGGCAATTCAAAGTGTTTAACAAAAATGAAAGACATTAAGAGCATTAAGAAACAGTGCAGCAGAAACATATTATAAAATGGCATTTTAAAACACTAATTTAAAAGCAAAGATAATAAAACATGAATAACACAGGTACATGAATACAAGTTACAGTGCAGTGTGAGATATGAATATATATATATATATATATATATATATATATATATATATATATATATATATATATATATATATATTAAAAGCAGCGGCAAAAAGAAAAGTCTTCAGCCTGGATTTAAAAGTAGTAAGAGTTGCAGCGGACCTGCAGGTTTCTGGTAGTTTGTTTGTTCCAGATATTTGGAGCATAATAACTGAACGTTGCTTCACCATGTTTAGTTCTGACTCTGGGGACAGAAAGCAGACCAGTCCCTGAAGACCTGAAAGATCTGGATGGTTCATCGTTTAGCAGTAGATCAGAAAATCGTGTTTTATTTAAGGAAACATTTAAACGCATAACTTTATTTGTTCTGCTTAAAAAAGCCATGTTGATTTATACATGCATATTTTATCGAAAGTCATTTTAGTTGCCATAACCCAACAATTATACTTTTGTTTGTTTAGAGCCTTGAATTTCTGTTTGCAGTAAAGTCGGGCTTGATTAGATTACTTATAGAGTTAATATCTGTAAAGATGATGAGAAAATGGAGGGGTGCTTATTTAAAGTTGAATAAGCAAGGAAAGCAACAACCCTGCCCGAGGTTCCTCCAAATGTATACAGAACTGCATGCCAATGATTTTTGTCCATTACACTAGTAATGTGGCCTGTTATTGAAGATGATAACCACCCTTTGTAGGCTAAGAATGCTGGTTGTTAAAGGGCCTCAGTGTGGGCACAATGAAACTGCCACATCTCTTATGTGTTCACTGTGGCAGTAAAGGCTCCACAATGCTTTAAATCATTTCCCTGAAAGAGCTGGACCAAGCCCATATGTTGCATCTTTAATAAAAAAAAATACTGAAACGATTTAATTATAAATGTAGTTTGCAATTTTCTGTCAATCAATTAATTGTTTTCAGCTCTAAATAAATCTAATTTCCCCATGCTGTTTTTGCAGAGACAGACTGCTTCCAATTAAACAATCAATCAAATCAAATCAAATGAATGTTAAATGATTGAACAAAAATGAATCAAAGCATGTTACGGCTTAATTGGATCTCAGTGTGAATTGGATAATCATTACACATTAGTTAGAGCTAGGGCCTTGATGAATAATCCAATTGTAATTGATTTTAAGTGCTGTAGTGGCTTGTTTAAAAGTGAAATGTGTCTTTTAGCCAGAAGATGGCGGTAGATCCCTCCTGACGGCGAGGAGTCGCCATGGAAACCGACAGGCTCCTTCAAGGATGCTGGGAGAGTCTGAAGAAGCCAGTGACGTAATGTTACGGATGTGAGAGAGAGAGAGCGAGTGGGACCCTGATGCTGCCTTCAGTTTCTCCTCGTAAATCATACTACCCACTCCGACTGGGTGAGAACAGCGTTTTATTGGGTTTTGATAAAAAAGAGATACACAAAATAGAAATGGCAGAAAATAAATGTTTAATGTATCACAATGGCCAACACATCTGGCTTGGGCCAAGGAATATTTATGTTGGTTAAAGAATCAGTTTAGAATAACAATAATATATAGCTTACATTTACTTTTACTGTTGTTTATTGCACAGCTGTTTACATTGTGTCACAATATATTCCTTTTTATATCAACCAAAGCCTATTTTGGTTTTTCAATTATTGCACTAATATATTTTCTAAAGCATTACATGTTTGTACCTGATATTGTATCTTATTCTGTACAGCTTTTTATTTGTTTTTTGCGCCTTATGTTAATCCGTTCTTGTTTTATAATTTACCGATACTGCACTGTATACAGATGGATATAAAACAATATATATTGGATTTTCCCATATCTTATTGAAGGAGGTTTACATTTCTATGCTTTATACCTCTGCCTTAGAAGTTACAGATCATGTACAGGTACATCCTATATTAACAACGTTTTTTTTGCAGCTCGTTTCAAATACGGCACAAAGTGCTTTACAAAATACAACGCTCTAAAATAGCCTCATTAAAAGAGACCACAAAGTGAAAACTTAAAACAAAAACAACACAAGTCACAAAAAGGGGTGCATAGGAGAAACCCATTGTAATGCAAGTGACAACGCGATTTTTCCGACAGCGCCTGAATGCAGCAGCTGGCTGCTCCGCTGCTCGCAGCCAGAGGAAAGGACAGCACTGTGCACGAGGCAGGGACCATCTCCACCGGGAAGGTGAGGAACAGAGAAGTACGGGGTGAGCATCATTTTCTGACCACAGATACTCCTCTCTAATGGGCATTTCTCCTCGCAGTTTATTTGTTGTTCTTTAATTTAGACAACAGAGTTTCCATAAAGCTCAGCGCAGCAGCCTATGAGGGCTCGCAGACTCTGCTGTAGGGAAGGGATGCTGCAGTAGCTGAAACCTTCGGCAAGCAATATTTCCCCAGGTTATAACTCCAGTTAATGTTTGTCTGTCTGTCGTCAAATGCATGTCGAGGAGCCGTGTTTGATACAATGTACAATTGCGTAGCAGATAGCAAGTTTGTGATCACGCAAAAAGTTAGCTAGTGATTAGCGTTAGATATTTGTCACGGTGCACACCTGCAGCAATTAGCTGGCGGTCAGTTCGTCATTAGGCTACTGCCACGAAGGAACTATTTCCTACACGCAATACATTCAACTTGTACCTCACAGCATTTGGACAGACCTTCTTTGCAAGTCAGGAGGAACTTTAAAATAATGAAAATATGTTTATCAGAGTTTGTTCATAGAGTCAGTGTGTAGTCTCTTTGCCTGCATTTGGGATGTCTGTATGAAACTGAATTTGTCTCTTTGACACCAATGCTTCAATTAACCTCTGTTTTTTTCCTCAACAAACGCACCTGTTTGTTGTCAGGATACAACAATTGACCTTTGAGCTTTGAGTTACACCAGCTTTTACAAATCTGCCTTCTCTGGGCATTCTTTCTGCTTTTTTCCATATTGGTAGTATGCATCTGCTGGAAAACTGAACTCTTTTTGCTGCATTGAAACTGAAACCTGCCTACACTTTCTCCC